GAAGTTAGGAATTTCTATAAATTAGTTTGTAATGAATATTTGAGCATAAATTAATGGATTTGCGTAACCGTTGGCTAGTTTTGGAGCATGGTGCATCAATTGGAGTCCCCGGAAGGGTATGGATTGCCGGTTATGGATCTTCGGAGCGAGGTGAGTCTCCTTTCTAACCTTGTGAGAGGGGATTTTTCCCATAGGTGAAATAATTGATTATGGCTCCTATTTGTGGGGGCTACGTACGCACGAGGTGACGAAAGTCCGTGCGTAGCTACTATTATGCTATTGTCCGGGTAGTTAGGACCCAAAAGCATGCTATACTTGAGTTATTTACGAACCTATTGATAGCTTGAGCTGCTTGAACTACTTAAACTACATCGAATCAGTAAACGAATTTTTAAAAAGGGTTTAAACTTTATTTTTCCTAAATTAATAAAGAGAATTAGATTTCCTTTGAATAATTGCCCCATGTTGGCTTATTGACTGAATGACTCTATGTGTTTATTTTGGAACGGGCCGAATGCCTCGGCAGATTAAATAGATGTATCTATAGGCGCGTCGTCGACCCTCGGCAAGTGCACATTTCATTTCTGTTGGAGCGGGCCGTCGCCTCGGCATGATTTGCGCATGATTTATATATCGTTGCCTGAGAATTTTATACGTTGAAGCTGCCTTTCATGGCTTGAGATAAATTGATAAAATAAAGAAAAGTAAACCTTGAAAATCCTTTATTATTTGTTGAAGGTGTATTGCCTGTTTTACATCTTTGCGAGTTAGAATTGTTATATAAAATCCCCGATTTCCTCACACATTTAGTATATTATCATTGGACCGCTAGTATGTGTCAAAGTTGACCATCTCGTCTCTACTTCTTCGAGATTAAGTGGGATACTCATTGAGTACACGTTGTTTATGTACTCAAACTACACTTCTGTCCATTTTTGTTGCACAGGTATATCTATTTCTAGCAGCCCACTGGGCGTAGCAGCGCGGATAATTTGGGGCTAGGTGAGTTGCACTATTCGAGGCGGCCCGCAGCTAGTATAGCCCTCTTCAGTACATTGTATTTATTCCCTGTCCATTGTATTCCGGACGGATATTGTATTTTGTTTCCCTATCAGTAGATGCTCATGCACTTGTGACACCGGGTTCTGGGATAGTTTGAAGTATTGTATTAACTGCTTATCATTTAAATTTGATTTGAGACTATATTCTTTAATATTGCTAAACTTGAAGGAAAATCATAGATTTTAGAAGTATTAAAATGAGAATTTGATTAAGTAACTTGGTTGGCTTGCCTGACAGCAGTGTCCGGCGCCATCCCGACCCTTAGTGGATTTTGGGCGTGACATTTCCTCCCATTGATGTAAATGAGAACATAGAATTGTATGTTCGTATATTCTCTCTGAAATATTTACTTTTTGCACCTTCATAAAATTAGAGTTTGTTAAAGAAGATGTGCGTATAAATTCTCGTGTTGTTTTATTTTATTCAAATAAAATTATCTATTAACCTGATCCAAATAATAATTCCTTTAAGATTGAAGGCGGCTCTTTTGGATTTGGTAGCTTGATCTTTCCACGATTGCAGCACAAACTAAATACTGATTTTTTATTCTTCTACTTCTTGTTAATTCTTTCCTCGTACCAAAAATATGCCCCACAATATTCACATTCATAAGTAGAATCGCCTATATCCCAGTAATCTAGGATAGTGAGAGTAAAATAAAAGGTTAAAGTCACAATACTTATTATACATAAAATTGATTTATGTTGTATATGTAAATTTAGTAACCATCATACTTACCTTCATTGAAAATTGTCCACCTTTCGACTTCATCCTCTACAAATAATAATAATAAAATATAAAAAATTAAGAAGTCAATAGTTTAAATTGTTAATACATTTTCACATGATCGATCATTGTTAGGTTTCTATCAACATACCTTCAAACACATCTTCATCTTCATTTTCATCATGATCTTGTAAGCTTGATCGCTTATCGCCTTGATACATAAAATGAAATATTAATAAAGTTGTATGTATGACTGTTAGTTGTGGTATTTTTCTAATAGCATACCTGGTATATCACCATCAATATTGACATCCTCAAATTCTGAAAAGAAATTTTAAACATTAATAGTTAGCAGAATTTATAATTCATGTTTCTCAAACAAAACTATGAGTTTATTGGAATAGTTACCTTGAAAGAATAGGGGTCCATTTAACAAAGTGAGTTGTTCAAAAGTAAAAGCACAAAAACACAATATATACAGAACCATAGTAATAAAATTTTAACAAACGTCCTCCACTTAAGAAAATAAACAGAAGGAAAAAAAAGGCAACAAATAAAAGTTTAACTTTTAAAATGCTAAAAAGTCATGCTTTTGCTGGATTTTACTAAAAAGCACACAACTGTAAATCCATATGTTGAATATCAACATCTAGCCATTTCACATGAATATACAATTACTTCAAATGTCAATGAGGAAGGATAGTTATAGTTAAAGTTAATTAATTTTTCACTTTTATTATAGTGTTAAAGCAAATTTGCATAAGACACTTGTATCACAATAGGAGAACGGCAGTAATGCTTACCATATATGCAGTACTATATTCAAAAACAGACATTACAAAGGCGCTGCACTATTTCCTTTAGCCTATGACATTTCGACAACTTAGATGTAGGACATTTCTAATAAACTATATTAGAAAAACACATAAATACATGGTAGTAAGGTGGGCTTAGGAGAAATTGTTTTAGATAGAAGTAGTAATGCATTAGCATAACATAATCACAAACGAACAAAACAACCGTTATTTGCCATAGGTTTTTTTCATTCCAGATTTGGTCGAATCGCACATAAATTATGATAATCCCACAAAAAAAAGTCAGCAACTAAAACTTTAACTATAAATAAATTAAAAGGGCTTTAGCTGGCCAGTTAGTAAGCTCCAGAGGTATAAGTATATAACTTTACAATTTCATATTTTATGTGGAGAGCTGGTACACCGTCACAAAGTTTTACATCATCAAATTAATAATAAGTAATAATAAATATGTAGTTAATATTTATGAATGACTCATGTCATATAAAAATGTTAAACTCAAATATTTACCTTGCAATAATGTGGTTCATTTAAA